GGCCTGGGCCACCTCTGCTTTTCCCTGCACTTGCCTGTCCACCCTCTAAGACATGGCCTAGGAACTGTATCCCTGTGCATTTCCCCTGGCACGACTTGGTCCTCGCCAGGGCTGACTGACCGTGGCAGTCCCCGGCTGCAGAGGACTTGGAGTTGACACTGTCATGAACTCTACAGGTGCTAGAGTATCGTAGGGACCATGGTTCCTCTCCTCTCCTCTTCGTAATGGTTAAGGGAAGGTCTTGGTAGCTGCTGGGGGCAGGAGGCTGTGTAGGGAGAGGTCACAACGCTTGCAGATCTCAAAGAACAGGTCAACTCTAAACCATCACTCACGTTATCCATCATGGCTTTGCAAAGCTGAACTTGGCTCATCGGAAGGAGTAATGAGGTGCAGTTCTCTGCTTGATCAGCTGCTGTTACAGAGGAGTCAGCTGCTCCCGAGTGCTCTGGATGAGCCCAGGAAAGGACGTTCTCTTCCCCCATTGTCACCCAAGCGTGATGAGAGATGCGGCCTCAGCCCTCGGAAGGAAGGTTCAGGTCAGCACTTGGTACTTTCCAGGAAAGGGGATGGGACTGTGCCACCAGCTCTGCCAGGCTCTGGGGATCAAGACAGGGAGTTGGTGCATCTGACCTGGTGCATCCCTCTTGCCTCATGCCTCGGCAGTCTGCAGCAGCTCAGCACGTGGCCTTCAGACCAGGAGTTGTCCAGGCCCTTCCATGCCAGCAGCAGCTCTTGCTGCAATCCAGTCTCACAAGAAGCCAGAGGTTAATTTTCATTAATTACCATCGGCGGTTAAATTAAAATCTTGAATCGGTGAAACCTGAATGAAGAAAGAATGCTTTTCATTGAGCCACGGGGCATCTATTTTTGCCTTGAACTGAAGCATCCAAGTGTGTGTTAGCAGTCACTGTCTTCAAAGACAAAAACAGTCATTCCATGCCACAGGGTTTTACCCGGTGCAACCACTGCAGTATTTTACAATATCACTTTGTCAGCACTAAAAGAAAAAAAAAAAAAGTGCTTAGATCCCTTTCTGAGATTTATTGCATTTCATAGGTGAATAGATTTTTGATTAGAGAAACACTCTGCTTTTTTTCTTTCGAAAGTGCTTGGCCGAGGGGTGAGATAATGCAAAGGCTGAACCTCATTTAATTATCAAGTCCTTTAAGTCCAGGCAGAGCAAAGTCCCTCGCTGTCTCCACAGTGGAACTGGTTTAAGCATAATCTGAAGCCTGGACTACCCCTCCTGGTGCTTTGCTGGGGCAGTGACTGTGCAGGCTGTGGTGCAGTGTGAAATCCGTGCTCTGAAGTGAAGTCAGGATCGATATTTCTGAATGCCAGAATCTTCCGTGTGCCTCAGGGAACTGGTGTCCCGAGTTTCCCTGAGGCTCATCCAGCTTTTTTTTTTTTTTTTTTTTTTTGTTGTTGCAAGAGGCAAAATCTTCAGCAGAAGGATATCCTCCAGCTCTGAAACCCTTCCAAAAAGTGAGGGCAGAGTGGGAAGCTCCCAACATACCGATTCCCCCAGGCATATACTTTTTGAAAGAGGCTTAAGGTAGGGGGGGAAACGAATTTCAAGACAAAAGCATTAGAGCAGTTGGAGTCAGGCTTCCAGAGCCTCCTCTTTGTCTGCTCAGGGACAGAGGAAGAGGGTGCGGTGCTCGGGAGGGCAAAGATCAGTGCAGGGTAGGAAATAAAACCAGGGGAAAAGAGGACTCGGTGCTCTCGAAGGCTGGGACACATCTCCACGTGTGCAAGCCGGTCGGGTGCTCATGGGCTCAGCCGCGCTGGGGCTGCGGGAGAGGTGCAGGTGGCGTGAAGGGGCTGCCCAGGGCCTCAGGGGAGCTCCGTGTCTCTCAGAGCCTGGCGGGCCGTGGTCCACACGTGGACTCTGAGAGCTCCAGTGTGGCTTTTCTCTTCGTGGGGATTTTTTTTCCACCTCCTCTGGCAGCAGGCAGAGGAGACCCAGGCGGCAGGTCTCAGGATGAGGTTTATTCTTAAGGGTAGGTGTAGGCGCGGTGGCATTGTCCACTCTTGGTTTCCCAGGCTCTAAGCTTTGGTTGCAGCAGTGCAGCCCCTTCTGGGGTGCAGGGGACAGCACACGCCACGTCAGCTCTCAGCTGCCCTTCACAATGCCAAGCACCTATTGCACCGGTTCCATATCCTGGATAAGATGTTTCATTCTTTTGTTTCATTATTAAAAAAAAAAAAATATTTCCCACCTGTCTGGGGTGTAGGTGGCCAGCTCAAGCAGTGTGATACAGCTGAAATCTTTACGTCCATGCATTCGGTTTACAGGAATGCCCATCCAGCTCCTGGCAGGGAGACACAGGGTTGACATCCCGTGGGTGCTACAGGCCTTGCTCCGTGTCCCGTCGGGCTGCGTGTCCTGTACCCTGGGGTCCTGGGTACACGATGCCTGGGCTATAAAGTGATACAGGGGTCACTTGCCCAGAGTCACTGGTCCTGGGGAATCCACAGGCGTAGTCACTAAAGCCATTTTGTGCCTGTCCTGCTGCCACTTCTTTGAAGGAGAGAGATGTGCTCTCCCCACACACACTCCAGAGCTGGCGGGTCCCAGCACAAGGTCTGTTGCTTTGGTCAGCAAACCTTGCTCTGGCGAGCTCTTTGCCTGCAGTGCTGGAAACTTCTGGGCCAGAGGAGGCCTGCTTGGTCTCCACAAGATGCCACCAGGCACAACAGTAAAAGCTGTTGCCCCTGTTGCAGCGAGGAGTGTGCCCAGTGCCTGGTGTGGTTTCGTGCTCCTCTGGGAAGACTCCAGAGCAAACCAGGTTGTGGCAGTGAGGGGCTTCACTGCACCCAGGCTCTGCTGCTGCTCACAAATACTCTTATTTTCTGTGCTTTTGGGAAGGTGTGGGCTGGCACTGCTGCTCACCTGCATGCTCAGGGCTCGTCCTGCTCCTCCTGGTTCTTGCTCTGTGCGAAGAGAGCAGCCCGTGTCCCAGATGCAGCCTGCTCTGCTGGAGACAATCCCAGCAAGGGAAATCCTGTCCAACCCATAACATGGCTCCGGCTCATGGAGAGCCCTCAGCTGAAGTAATTGTGTTTGCACAAACAACCCTCATCAGTTTAAAGGAGATAGAATCAGCAGGAGCTCATTGAGATGCAGCCACAGTCTCCACCGTGGAGCAGAGCTGCTCTCGCAGTCTGACACAGGAGTGGCAGGACAGAGGATGCCCAGGGACATGGGATGGTCCTTTTGGGCTGGTGCAGGGTGCTGGCTGCAGCCTGGGTCTCCACAGCAGCTCTGCGAATTGTACCTGCTGGCTTCTGAGAGAGGGGAAAGGCTGGGGGAGGTGTTGAGGCCCCCTCTCCATGGGTCTGGCTTAGAAATGTTAGCAAAGGCTGGAGCAGACTTCCTCATGGAAAACACACAAAGTGCCGGGGCATCCGGAGAGGGATTGGTTTGTGCTCCCTTGTCTTCGCAGCCCAGTGACCTGGGGCAAAGGGTGACCGGGAAAGACACAGTCACTCGGAGAGGAATGGGGTGATGAGCCCTATGGAAGCCCACAGAAATTTGGTTCTGAAAAACAAGCAACAGCTGGAAATGATGAAAACTCATGCCATCGTCTTGGGGACCAGCTGCTATCGTTGAGTTTGGACACTGCTGGTATGTGACCAGCTCAGAGGTCGCAGCCTGGCCGAGAGCTGTGATGGTCAGGATGTGGCAGGGCTACCTGGTGCACAAAGACCCATGAAAATCACAGCTGTGAGGCCAAAGGGAGGCTTAGATGGGAGTTGGCAGGGCTGGACTCAACTGGATTGAGCTAGGCTGGGCTGGACTGGACTGGGCTGGGCTGGAGTAGACTGGCTATACTGGCTGAGTCGGGTTGGGGTGCATGGAGGATGCTCTGCCAGTGGGTACACATCAGCAGTGGGACTCCGAGGATCCTGGACCCAGGCAGGTCCTGTGGCTTGCAGGGCTCACAGCTCCACAGACAGTGCGGCCGCGAGCCCCAGAGGCTCCCACGACTCTCCTGGGGGTGGCTGTGGAGGCGGCCTTCAGGAACTGCTCATTCACACGCTCCCGGTCCTGCCACAGGACAGGTGACTGGCAAAGCAATATTAATTTTGCAGGGAGGCCACTAATGTGGCCTATGTCCCCTTTGCCCCGGGCAGCGAGCGTTCCCTGCGCTGATTAAGTGTGAGAATGGTCTCTGTAGGCACCTTTCAGAAAAAAAACCAACCCCAAAACATTTCAATTAGCAGCTAAGATGGATAGCGCAGGAAATTGGGTGGTTATTTCCAGATATTTACAATGAATCACCTCATTGTAGGAAGGGGGCATGCTGCGGTGTGCTGAAGGGGCTGGGGATCACAGTTATGCTCCTCGGGAACCATTACACAGAGAGGAGTTTGCTTTTATGGTTTGGTGATTAATTTTTGCAGGATGAATTTTTGCACGGGGGAAATTGCTGAAATTCTAGAGAGGAGGGAACAAGGGGAGGGATTGCATCAGCTCCCAGCAGCTACATGCAACCTTGGCATCCCATCCACATTTCTAGGTGCCCCCAACAGCCAGTTGGAGTCTTTTCTGACCCTCCCTGACCACCTGGATGAGGAGGGATGAGTCTGTTTTCCTCCAGATCAGGTAGCAGTGGGTGTCCCCCCTGGTTTCCCTCACATGAAGACTTCTCCTACTGCTACCTGCCTCTACCCCCTTGGGGCTCCTGTACAGCAGGACCTGAGCTCTCTTCTGTTCTCTCTTTCTCGGGGATCTGCATGTTCAGGTCCACACTGTGGGCAGGCAGGGGTCTTGGATGTCTTGGAGGAGCAGTGATGCAGTTGTGTTGCCCTGGGGATTAAGAGGGGCTTTTGGAGGGGAACACGGGGATGCAGGAGCTGTAGCCTGGCGATGGGCAGGCTCAGAGCTCTCCCACGGTCTGGCTTTCCCAGGCAGGCAGCTCACGAAACTTCCCTCATCTCCAATTGCTGTGCTCCACCTTTTATTATAATTGATTCTGCATCGCCATAGGAACCCGCTCCAGCGTGAGTGAAGAGCAGCTGCCTTCCCTGCGCGCTCTCCAGGAGAGAGGCGGCTGCTCCTTCCCTTGAGATGGCAAGTGATGGAGCCGGGAGTCCGTGCCAGCCAGGTACCGTCCATGCCCCGTCCCCTCTCGAGTGCTCACGCTGTGGGGAGCAGAGCTGGGGGGTAGTTCCCTCTGTGCTCAGCTGCCAGGGACACCCACACCCCCCACCCCTGTGGTGGTGGGCTCAGGAGATGGGGCTAGTTGTGTTTGTCTGGTGTGAGGGTCCAGTAATATCTTCTCGTGGTGGTTGTCAAGTCTGGATGGAGAGGGCAGGAGGCTTTGGGATGGGATGGGATGG